CACATGGATTGGTCGCCTCCTGCACTTGCCCAGGGGCCAGGGATCTAAGCTGCCACCCAGGTACCTGTCCTTGATCTGGAATCCAACCTGGGACCCTTTGGTGCGATGACTGACACTCTAACCACTGAACCACAGCGGCCAGGGCAAAATTAAAGAATTTGTACTGAGATGTTTTAGGGGGTTAAGAAGAAACAAACATACAAGAAAGAATCACAGACAAGTCTGAAACACAAACCAAGTTCTTGTTGTTGGCCTGCTTCCCCAAAGCGGTGATGCCCGGCATACCTTTTACAGTTCCTGTTTTTTTAGTTTCCATGTGTCAGACTATGGAAGCCTAAAACGTTGAGAAAAATGGTGCTTTTTACTGCTTTCCTTTACCCACACATTCTTTGCATTTTAGTCTACTAATTATGTTTACAAAATGTCTCATTTTTGAAAAGCACTCTGTGTGTACTAACTGGTGCCTTTAGGGAATAAGCTGGCAAGTAGGTCATACACTGGAAAAGTCATCCAAACCCACTGGGCTTTTTATTTTCAAGTCAGTCTGGGCTTTTTCCTCTTGCCTGCCCCTTTGCGGCCACAAAACTGAGTAGCTTGAGACCAGGGCATTGAATGTCAGCAAGTCAGGGAGGCAGGCTGATGTGTGTCTGTTTAGTCTCAGCGCAGGGCGAAATGCCATCATTAATTCATTACCCAGCTGCCTGTCAAATAAATTGGCAATTACGTCCACCGCAGAAGCTTGGAATTCAGTAAATAGCACGTTAGCATCTCTGAGTTGTTGAGAGATGTAAAGGGGAAAATTAAGCAACACGGTGTTTGTATCAGGAGCAGATGACAAGGGGCAGCATACACTGGTGGTGTGATGTAGTGATGAAAAGCCTGCAGAGGGCTGGTAATGAGCTGTGTGGATTGGAACGTGTTAAAAACCATTGCTGATTTTCCACTTTGTCTTTATGCTTTATTGCAGAGTTCAGCTCCTTCCAGTTTGGGAACAGGCTACTTCGTAAGTTTATCTGAACTTCCACATGTGTGCCTTGCCTTGGCATTGATTTATTTCTATAATGTATGCTCATTAGAACGTGAAAAAAATCTAAGAATCCCCTCTCAGTCTTAAAGAGCAGACTGATATACATCCTTTTATTAAGAATTGCTTTATTTTTACAATAAGTAACTTGCTGGGCCCTAGGGATCATGGGTCAGTCTGAGTTGTTTGTCCGGTGCCCAGCATGCAGGACATTTGCCCCTGGCAGCAGAAGGGGACACAGGGAAACCTGACGGGCTCTTGCCACCTCTCCTACACAGTTGTTTTGTATTGAGAAGTGTCATGCGGAAGGTGGAATTCATATTATGTACTGAGGTATTCAGTTTTAAAATCTCTTGAAGAACTTCCTCATACATACAGCGAATCATCTTTTTTTAAAAAAAAAAAAATTGATGGGAGGTGGTGTTTTAATGGATGTTTCCCTCACAGTCTAAGTAGGTGGCCTTTAGACTTCCTTTCAGTATTCATTAACAGCCCTCACTTTAGCAAATACAGGTGTATTATTTTATTTACAGACTTTTCTCTGTCCTTTGGGGGGGGTAGGGGTGGTGACATACCTCAGGTATTGTCACAATATTTTTCATAAAAAGTCACTTCACTTCATTTTTTATAGCAAAATTACCCTTTTTGAATTCAACAATCCTTTTAAAGATGTAAATAGAAAAGAATTACAAATAGGTATTATTTACACAACGGGGATAGCATGCCAGTGTAGAGGTTTGTTGTGGTATTTAAAGGCATCTGAGTTGTGTTCTGAATGATGAGCACAGGTACTCTGATGCCAGCTCAGCATTTTCTGAGAAAATAATGGAATCATGAAAATTTTAAAAAAGTGGGAAATAATTACTGATTTGGTTTAGTTGTCTTTACATGTCTTCCTTATAAAATGCTAATGACCCTGGTTTTCTTCGCCCACACATTTTTCTCCATACATTTACATAAAATAAATGAAAACTAGCATCATATCGTGGGAAAAGAATTCTTTTTCAAGCTTGGCAGAAGTAGTATTTTCTAAATGTTGACTTTTTTGTATTAATCTATGATAGGAGAAAAAGGGTAAAGGTTTTGGTGCCTGCTTAATGTGGTCAGCACACTTACCCTGCTCCTTGCCCAGACCTGCTCCTTACCATGGCTGCATACCCATGCTTGCCCAGACCAGCAGGCTGCTCGGCAGGGGAAACAGCAGAAGCAGTCCCATCTGCCATCTCTTCACACCAGGCTGGGTGTGGGTTGAGATGCTCCAAGTAAAATCTGGAGACTGCCAGTATCTATTCTCTTTCCAAAAGCTAAATTCTCCCTCTGTGCTTTCTTCAGCAGAATACAGCCAAAGCCACCAACTTAGCCCCTTGATCTAGACTGTACATTCTGTGTTATATTTTTATTATCAATATGATCACCCTGAAAGAAGAAAGTCATCTCTAGAAACACCAAGATTTTGTTATACTCTTTGTCACTTTTCTCTCATTCTAGGAATGTTTATTTTTGTTCGCTAACAATACATTATTATGAGTAAAGAGTCTGCAATTAAAAATCTAAGATAGTTTTTATACTTACACAATCTTGGATAAGTATACAAATTTTTCCTTATTTTGGTAAAATTGTTCCTAGTATTACTTTGCTTTTATAAAAAAAATTTGCAGTAATATTAACTTACATGGAGAAGATACATACCAGATGTATGTTCAGATCTCAACTGTGGCACAAATGCTCAACTTAGAATGTGTTTCCAATAATGGGATTATTATGTTATCAAAGTACAAAATCCAGTGATATTATTGCCAAGTCCTCATCAAAAAGTGTCTGCTGCTTCAGTATTGATTCCAACACTATCACACGTAATATTTAATTTCACATACTTCAACATTAGTGAGTTTCACATTTCTACGTGGAAATAGTATAGTCACAATTTATAGTAGTTTAGTGCCAACATATTCTTTGTACCGTGCTCTATGATCCATAATGTCATAATAGTCTTTGTTTACATCTGTACCAAAGGTTCAACATCAGGTAAGTAAAATGGAAATATTTTTACTCCATCCTTACGCCTCTCAGCATCTCTTTGAACTGTGGATGGAGGCAAATCACCTGCAGAGCGATTAATAGCTCAAATCACCAATGAGCTATTAATGCAATTGAACCATAATGTGAATTCTGGTATAAGAAAATTCAAGGCACTCACCGATTGGGTTTAACAACCTAGAACTGTTTTCTTAAGTACTCTCCCCTGTCCCAACATTACTCTAACTTCAGAATCTTCTTTCATTTAGATTTTTATGCTCCCATAGGGATTTTAGGGAACTGAGGTAAAATGCTGATCATCGTGTGTGCTAATAAAATGGACACCCATCTTACTATATGCACTTGCGTGTGTGTGTGTGTGTGTGTGTGTATGTATATGCACACACACCTTATCCAGAAAGTATATTCTACTTACTTTCAGTTTTTTTCATTTATCAGTAGTGGCAAGTTAAAGGGTTTATTTTTTACTTAGTTGTATTTGTTTATATCTCCTCGGTTTTGTGTTCCAAAGATGTCTGTTTAGGTCTGTCACTGTTCCAATCCATTTATAAGCTGAAGATTTGAGAAATGAGAACAGCAGTTGAAAGCAGTATTTACATAAGCATATTGCAAAGAATTCTTAAAGTAGACAAAATAGAGAAGGGTTAGAACAAACTTTTCACATTTTTGGGAGCTTTTGAATAATGTGGGTGTTATACACACAGACAGACACACAGAGACACATATTCATTACATACTCATATTCAGCTCAAATTCTAAATATAAATGGAAATATAGACTAGTTGGAATCTTTGCTTTCTTTCTTTTTTTTTTTTTTTTTGGCAAGCATACCACAACTTGTTGGAGTGCATAGGCTTTTTCTTTTTTAAAAATGTTAATGCAGTGAACATGGTCTCTTTTCAATTTAAATGTTTATGGCTGTATTCTCTTCTTACACATCTATTTGAAATTTTATTGTGCATAGTTTATAATCAACTTAGAGACAGAATGATCTGAAAACTAATGGTGTGGCCTTGGGCAGAGTATTTAATATCTCTGAGACTGTACGATCACCCGTACCTTCCTAATAGAGTTGTGAATCTTGAGTGAGGTAAGATATTTAATGCATGCAGAACCGCACTCAAAAATAGCAAATAATAAACATTGCCTCCTGTTATTCCCACAGTAGTTTGCTATGGAAAAAACAACGTGGGCTCATTAAATGGCTTCAGTGTTGTGGAATAGAGAATTACCAACAGAAATTGATACAAAAGTAAGCTTTGCAGTTTGTCACTGAGGACAGGAATATCTTATTCTCGTTAGAGTGTTCTTTTTTAATTTTATTAAATATACCTTTATTGATTTCAGAGAGAGGAAGGGAGAGGGAGACATAGAAACATCAATGATGAGTTATTGATCGGCTTCCTCCTGCACGCCCCCTACTGGGGATCGAGCCTGCAACCCGGGCATGTGCCCTGACCAGGAATCGAACTGCGATCTCCTGGATCCTAGTTCGATGCTCAACTGGTGAGCCATGCCAGCTGGGCACGTTAAGTGTTCTTGTATCTTTCCCAGAAGCCTAGTATTCTGTGCTTGATCAGCTGTATACCTATTTACTCTGTATGTAAATATAAAAACAAATATGGAATTCATTCTCTATGATCATGATGATGTTGGAATGAACTATTCTATAGGCTGTATTCTGTAATGAACATTATAGAAGGTTAATTTGTCTATTAAAGTTGTTTATTTTCTTCCTCAGACCTTAGGCATTTAAAGATGGCTAATAGATCTTAGGGTTGGGCTTTGAGGTTAAGGAATACCTGTTGAACATATTCAGATTTTATGAGGTTATGTCGCATGTTTGCTGATCTCTGACACCAAAAAGAAAAGTGGATGCCCTAGGATGCCCAAATGAAGCAACTGAAAGCAGTAGAGTGAAAAGACGTAAGTTAGCACATCTCCTGGTTTCCAGGGGCCTGGTGTATCATCGCAGGAAAGTTCTGCACATTCTTTGCAAGCACTTGACTCCATGTACCAATTGGGATCTCCTGTTGGTGTATGGGTAAGTGACTTGTCGGGCTGAACCTGATCCCTGCTGTAAGGAAAACCTTTCCTTTATTTGGGTGACATGTCCTGCCTGCTTCTCTGGATAATGTTCAGCCTTCTTCCAGGTTTGAATCTAAGTATCTTAGGCCCCTATTCTCAAATAGCTTGGATTCTGGTTTTGTAAACTCCAGTGATCCAGAGATTTCTCTTAATGGTTCTCAACTAAAAATTTTCATCCCCAAATGGGTCACATCTTGTAATGTACATACTTTAAGATTATCAAGGAAACCAACCTACTTCGACCTAATGATTAAAACTGCCACAATATATAATAAAGGGGATTGTGAGTGGTACACATCTTTAAATGGGATTTCTGTAATTACTATTTTCAAGTGCAATTAAATAACTTAAGAATTTGTACTGATAGCACTGATAACAGGTAATAGGTACCAAATAATGACCTGTGATTTCCATCCAGAGTTAGCAGGTCATAAAGGGCTTCAGTTCTTTGACCTGATCTAAGTTTTTGACTATAGATCCTTGGAATATCTTCTATTTTTCTTTGCTGTAATTTGTATAACTCTTAAGACTGATTTGTAGTATTTTGTATAACCATAGTTGCTTTTTTAAAACCAGAGTGAGTTTTATTGCTGGATAAGCTTAGAATGAATTTCTTTAAAAACATTAGGCCTTTTTTTTTTTTTTTTTTAATATATTTTTTTTGATTTCAGAGAGAG